TTGATGTGTGTGATGTTGAGGTCCCATTTAATCTTCCTTATTAGAAGCTTCTGATGTTTTATTTATTTCTTTGCGACCTAGGTAGAAAGTTATCTTCTTTAAAATAAGTGCTTGAATCTTAGCTTTATGACTTTCCTGAAGAAGATAATGATCATGTTCTCTTACGTCATAGGCTAATTATCTGAAAATATCTTTATCTCATGTGCTCAAATTATTCAAAAGAGAAGTCACGTGTGGTTAACTGCTCGCAAAGGACTAATGAGTCCAGAATGTGATTGTACTTGCTCATAGCCTTCGAACAGCAATATGTGCCGATTTGTAACGAAGTGATCGCTTGAAAGACAGTTGTTTGGAAAAGAGTAAAGATAAAAAGAGATGGTGTACATTCACCAGTGGTTAATTTAACTTAGTTCAGGTCTGAAGTTAGCGATGACCCCATCACAAACTCAATGTCTTTGAAAAAGCATTTCCTTTGCAAGAGAGAAAGGATGCTGCTCGAACTTAGTTGGAGGAAGACTAGAAAAGTTCGTCTATTCTATTATCTATTTCTTCTTAACAATAATAAGGCACAAATAACCCTATCTTTCTAGACGGGGTCAGAACACGTTGGATCAAAGATTTTCCTAATGGTGCTGACTGCACAACCAGATATTAAGGCCATATTTGGTATGGAGAAAATACCACAGGGAAGATTGAAGTATGATCCACGATTCCGACAACATGCCACAGGTATAGCTTTTGTAGTACTTCAAAGAGGACAGAAAACATTTTTTGTAAAAAATGATAAGTTCTAAGGAGTAGATAAAAAAATAAAATTTGTGCTTTTAGTATTTACAAAGACATTCGACTACGTCATCAAAAACATTGACTTTCCCGAGAAGTTGGAAACGCATTTTGAGGTACCTGTTGAATCTCTTGTTTGACTCTAACCGATGATATAAGCACTGCTTAAGAATTTGTGTAGTTGCGGGCTTGCTAATCTAACTTGAATGAGCGAAGACGGTTTGTTTTGAAAAAAAAGGAACAGATTTATAAAACTCGCATAAATTCCTTCATCTTCGTTATACCCATCGGTAGAAGATCAACTCGGCTTTGTGCTCTTATCCTCACAGTCTTATAACAAATCCGAATTTAATTTTTTATTGACGGGAAAAAAACGACTTTTAATGTTACCGATGGCATGCTGTGGTGCTTTTCGCTAT